TAGCATGTTGCACCACAGGTATCCATACGGTGGGGAAAACCATGCAACAGCAGGTTTCACACCCCATCTTGCCCTTTGTACATTATGGTTGGGCCCTAATGCATCTGCTGAGAAGTACTTCGGTGGAAGAATTCTTGCCTTCCATGTGGGACACTGAGTTTGATATCCTACCAATGAACCTTCTGTGTAACCACCATGCCTCTGTTATTGGAGGCTTGCTCCTTGCTAGGATGCTGGACAGGTTTCAGCGGTGCTTCCAGACTAAGATGGACTAGGAAGAAGGCCTGGTGATCTGCTTCTGGCCAATGAAAGCCCTATTGGTCCCAACAGGACTGGTGCTTCTTTCCCTTGTTATGAAGTTTACGATTGAGTGTAGGGAGTTGGGCAGTGACTCAATGGTGACTGACAACAAGAAGCATCCACTGAGGTGGGCCACAAAGAGTGGCTTCAGGAGGTGGGGACAAAGCTGAGCCCACCTACAGACATTCATAGTTAATACTCTTTTTTCATTTAATATTTTCTCCTGCATTTCAATACTTCCAACTGAGGTGCACTTCTGAATCATTACCATTTGCAGTTTCTGCCCTAACACGCAGCTCACTGCTTCATGGAGATTGTCTCACTGTGAGTGAACACCCAGGAAAAGTTGAGTCTCTGAAACCAGGGAAATTTCCCGGAAGGATGATGAGGCAGGCAAGGGTATAAGGCTCTCACAAAGGAGAATGTTCAAAATACTCAGTGTTTACTTTCTCTGCTGTCTTCTCAGCTACAAATTGAGCTATAAAAGCTACAGATATAGCTATAAAAAGCTATAAAAGGACAGTGGACAAACTGTCTTATTCAAACATGAACTCCGTGAGCCTTTGTGATAACAAGTCCCTAAGCAACTAGTGCTGTTTCCACTCGTTCCAAAGCTGTTTGGCCTACCGTGCGCCTTTTCAGAAAATAGATAAATAAAGAGTCATTACTCAGCACTCCCCTTGGCACTTAAAGGCTTTTGTGTTATAACCCATAATCCAGGATCAAGTGTGGGTATCTGCTTTTGTAACCCCCAAATCTTTACAGTGACCCTGCCCCCACCCACCGCAGGGCCAGTATTGCGAACTTTGAGAAATACTGGTTTACATGAATGAATGAAACTAGCTGTTTATAGCAAGAGTACTTAAAATGTCAGGCAAAACAAAAACAAAAAAAACACTAGGCAAGGGAATTGTGTAAGTCTGGGATATAAGACCAGCCCTGAAAACCCACCAGATGCTTAAGTTTCTTCTTTGTGTAACCGACTCAGTGTGTGTTAGCGCCCCCTGGTGAACAACACTACATTGCCGTGTGTTGTATTTGAATTCATGGAGGGTCACACCTCTAGGAATTTTAGGTAGAAATTTAGATAGAATGCATTCAAAGTCCAAAGAAAGTGAAAGAAGTTAGTGGGGTTTTTTAAATCACTTTATTGGGGGCTTGTACAATGCTTTGCTTATCACAATCCATACATACATCAATTGCGTAAAGCCCATTTGTACATTTGTTGCCATCAGCATTCTCAAAACATTTACTTTCTACTTGAGCCCTTGGCATCAGCTCCTCATTTTCCCCCTCCCTCCGTGCTCTCCTCATGAACCCTTGATAATTTATAAGTTATTATTTTGTCATATCTTACACTGTCCGACATCTCCCTTCACCCACTTTTCTGTTGTCCATCCCCCAGGGAAGAGGTTATATGTAGATCTGTGTAATTGGCTCCCCCTTTCTACCCCACCTTCCCTCCACCCTCCAGGTATGGCCACTCACACCACTGGTCCTGAGGGGACCACCTGTCCTGGATTCCCTGTGTTTCTGGTTCCTATCTGTACCAGTGTACATCCTCTGGTCTAGCCAGGAAATTAGAGATTTTCAAACTCTTGTAAACAGCAACTCTCACTCTGCAACATTTTAACACATTCAGCCAGTTCAAAAACAAACAGACACAACTGTTACCATCCTGTCTATTCCAACTCATGGCCACCCCAGGTGTGTCAGAATAGGACTGTGCAACAGAGGGCTTTCAATAGGCTGGATTGTTTTTTAATGGGTAGTCAGGTCTGTCTTTCTGAGCACTTCTGAGTAGACCCCAATCCCCAATCTTGTGGTTGGCAGCCACATATCTTAACCATTTGCATCACATGGGGAGTCAACTCAATAATATATCACAGAAATACAAGTTATATGAAACATTGCTTATGCTTATAATTTGGGTTGCATTCAAGTATTTTCGTCTCTATTTAATTTTCTTAATGCCTTTTAACATTTACTAAATCGATTCTGCAATCTCTATGTGTGAGGCTGGGTTGTCTAGAGAAATAAATGAGTGACACCGTCTATGAACAAGAAAGAACTGTACATCAAGAAGAAACTTTGCATTCAGAAGGTGTCCCGGCCCAGTCCAACTCAAGTCCATGGTCGGATGCTAGCCAGGTCCCTCTTGACCTCCCATAGCTGCAGGCCGGTGACATGAACGGGGGAAGAGGGAAGCAGGGAGGTCACAGGCCAGTGGGTGCAGAGTCACATGATCCAAGGTTCATGGAAATAGGGCAGGACGCCGACAGGTCTCAGGCTTGGGCGGTCCACATGAGGCCACCCTTGGAGGTAGCTGAGTCCCATCAAGCAAGAAGGCAAAGGGGCAAAGAAGCCTGTTTCCGGTGTCTCTCCGTCTTATACAAAAGACCTCCTCCCCAAGGATGTGTCATCAGGCATAGCCTTGACTGACATGTTGGGCTCCGCCCCTACCTCTCCGCAGGTACCATCAAGGTGAACTAAAATCTAACTGCCACACCAGAGTTTGAAAAGCACTAGCCTAAGGAGTACCCCCATATCCAGTGGGGGTTAACTACAGCATCACTTTAATCAGGGGCAAGCCCAAGAAACGATTCCACATTGAGATGTACCGACTCCTACAGAGTGACCTTATAAATCCTATGGCCCATCTGGTCCATCCAATTTGCTGCAAATATGGTCTTTCCCCTAAATCATGTTTGCTGAGGCCACTCCCAATGCCTCTGTATCATATCAAAGATTATTTTAAGAAGATCGGTTATTGCTAAATGGATAAACACATCTACTCCTTGACATCTATTTATATGAAATATCAATACAAATTTACGTTACATAAATCTGTTCAAAATATATTTGTGCATATTAAAAAAAAAACTTTCTCTGATAAATTGGGTGAAGGTTTACAGATCAATTTTCCATTCAAAATTTCATGCACATTTGTTTCATCGAATTAGTTGCCATTCCCATAATGTAACATACTTTTAAATCATTGTAATAGGTATTGTGTCCACGATGTTTATATAGGTTGTTTGGGGTTTTTAAAAAGAATTTATAGTTGCATGGAAGAATAATAAGTACTGTTTAATCTCTGAGGCAGTGGTTCATAAAACTTTTTGAAATTCTGATGAAATCTATAACACATCTCCCTAGAACACACAACATCTTCATTTCTTGGGTTCTCATTGGAGAACCGGTAACCTGGGATGTCTGAGGAGCAGTCACTGTTAGGTGACCCCTCCACAGCTCAGCCAGCAGCTCCAAAGTGGGCCCCAGAGAAGGAATTATCATACCCCATTCTGTTGGGAAATAAGCCAGCATCTCCTATTGACTTCCACTAGGCTACCTTTCCCATTGCACCCAATCAACACTGATGTCAACCGGGTTGGAACCAGAACAGAGTAGAAGCAATCTAGTTAGCCATGTGTTTGTTGACATGGAGCCTAATTAGGCTGAAGGACCAAGTGCTGAGTGGTAGCAGAGAAAGAACTGACTGCAGATGGTCCCACAGAGGTGCGAAGCTCTTTCCCCTCTCATGGAAGGGACATAGCACATGGAAGGGACATTCTTGAAAAATAGACTCATCTCTATTAGAATATACCAAGTTGCTAGAATGTTTTATGAATATCATGTGGAACATTCAACACTGAGCTGAAAGCCCATCTGGATCTCAGACTTGCTGGGAGGGTTAGCTGGGTCAAGTCGATCTGACTCATAATTCTGTGCTCTAGAGTAGACCTGATGCACAAGATTTTTATGGCAGATGTCAAGGTGATCGGTTCTAACCCACCAGCCACTTCATGGGAGAAAGATGAAGCTGTCTGCCCTCCCTCCCCCACGCCTCTGCCCCAAACAGCCTCAGAAACCTTGTACGGGGTCACTATGAGTCAGAATCAACTCACTGGCAGAGGGCTTGGTTTGGAGTTTAGTCTTAACATAAGCAGACTGTCTACCAGGGTTCTCTTCCGTGGTTCTGCAGAGCGGTTGGCACCAGCAGCCTCTCTGTTAGCAGTTGAGCAGAAACCATTTGTGTCGCCTATAAACTACACAAGTGGAACGCACCCTCATTGTAGGGTCACCTTTTAGGAGGGATAACACACTTACTATTTTAATAGCAACTCTGGATTAGCGTTCTAGACTGAGAAGCCCTGGTGGTGTAGTGGTTATAGATTGGGCTGCTAAGTTCAAGGTCAGCAGTTGGAAGCAACCAGCCCCTTCACGGCAGAAAGATGAGGCTTTCTATTCCCATCACGTGTCCCAGTCTCGGGAGGGAACTCACATGGACAGTTCTCCCCTGTGCCCAGTGGTCACTGTGAGCGAGCATCGGATGGACGGCAAGTGAGTTTGTCAGAGTTTGGTGGTGCAGTGGGTTATCAGTTGGGCTGCTGACCCCAAGGTCAGCAGTTTGAAAACCACCAGCTGCTCTCCTAGAGAACAATGAGGCTGTCTCCTCCCAAAGAGTTTTACGGTCTCGGGGACGTACAGGGACAGTTCTATCCTGTCCTAGCAGGGTCTCTAAGAGTCAGAATGAGCTTGCTGGCAGTGAGTTTGAGGTTTATATTGAGACTAAGGGCAAGAGTCCGCAGCCCTCGGAGGCAGGGAGGGTAAGTGGGCAGGACTAGTGTGCACTCTGCCCTCTGCACTCACCCAGCTGCCTGGCCCCACGTTCCTGTGTTCTCTGTTCCCCTTGCCAGGATTGGAGGAGCCATCCCCACCGTGTTCTCCTACTTTGCTGAAGTGCTGGCCCGGGAGAAGCGTGGCGAGCACCTGAGCTGGCTCTGCATGTTCTGGATGATCGGCGGCATCTACGCCTCAGCCATGGCCTGGGCCATCATCCCGCACTACGGTAAGAGGCTGGCCCGCACCTGTGGCCGGTCCCCCAGTTCTACCCCAGCCTTCACGCCCAGCTCCCTTCCTCTTTTGTAAGTGCTGGTCTGAGAACAGCACGGTCCTCGTCACCTTTCTGTCTCCTACCTAGAGGTCTGCTTGAGGTAAGACTGGGCCCAGTGGTCCACTCTGCTTTGCAACATTCTTTTATTTTGCTGTTTTTAGAGCTCTGCACACACACACACACACACACACACATATCCTATGAACTATGCAGGCCCCACCTCTGAAAGTCTGGTCATAATCAGATCCATGTGAGTTCATCATCTCTGGGCCCAGAGCAAAGCGCCGTGAGTCTGCCCATCCCTTCAGTGGTCCAACCCTAGGAGGCGTGTGAGAAGGAACCTGTCTCTTGCGGACAGGCTATGTGTAGGTGATGCTGCCAGTCCAGGCTTGCTGGTCCTTGCCTCTGTTCCTGTGTGCTCATTGTTTTCCACTTCTGGGTACGTGGAGGTTTGGGGTTTCCACACAGTTCTCTCCCCACGGAAGCTGGAAACTCCCAGGTGCTTCACCCACAGACAGACAGAGGCAAACAGAATCCAGGCATTTGTAGTGGCTGGGGGTGATGTTAAGGTCCAACTGGCAGCATCCCTACGGTGCAACAGAAGGCAACACTTCCGGGCCCTGCACCATCATCACTATTAGTGCTGTGTTTGAATTTGTTGCTGCAGCCACTGTGCCAATCCGTCACACTGGAGATCCTGTTCTTGTTCGCTGACCCTCTTCCTTTACAAGCATGATGTCTTCCTGGAGTGGAATTCCACGGAGAAGGACAGGAGAGGGAAGCATTTGAGCGACATTTCTGTACTCCTCTGGGTGTCTGCAGAACAGGCAAACAGACTGGGGGCTGCAAGAGATAAACCCTGTAGAGACTAAAACCTTACGGGAAATTACAGTCTGAAACCCGACTCTGCTCATTTTCTGTCTATGTTTGTTTTAGAATGGAGCAATTAATTACTCCATGTGAAAGCATAGTTCTGTTAGGGAACAATCTTTGCAAATATGACTCATCCCTAAAATCAGAGAAGTAGCCTTTCACATTCAGATGCATTATCATGGGTTTTACACACTGAGTTACCAAATTCATGTCAGACATGCTCCTTTGCTTAAGCTAAATGACTTGAAAAATTAAAATTGTCTCTAACAAGAAAAATGTATTTTTAATTAAAAACAGAAAAGCAACACACAAAAATGCACACATGTACGATGTGGTTATTCTCCCTAAAGAGAACATTTTATTTTCTAGCGATTTAAGCTGAACTTGAGGTGCCAAACCCCAGTGAGGAGTTTCTCCTTTTGAGACTCGTTTCTGATCCACAGAGAGCATGACACTCACCTTCATTTTATTCAAGTACAAATACGCAATAGCTTCTTTATTGCAAAAAGGAAGGTTGTAAATCACGAACCATGCATGAAAAGTTACCAAAGCAATCATTCTACGATAAAACTGTGCATCTCAGAAGGCGGACATTAAGTTTTATGTTGATGAAACCTTGAGAACTACTAGAAATCAGTAACCTGGACGATGAACATTTTAAGGCCATGCTTTACTGCAGGATGTCCATCGCCAGAAGCATGGGGGCGGGGAGCAGAGCAGATTATGTCAGTTCATTCTGTCTATGGATTAAAAGCAACCGGGAAGGTTTTCTTAAGAGTACCCTGGCTAAGTTTATTGTTGTGTTCTTTTTAAAATTCCAGAGGTGATTTGCATAATATAAAACATTTTATACTCTTACAATTTGTAGCACATTATCTTTTTTTTTCCAAAATAGAGAGATAAAAGGTTTGGGCTTTTTGGGTTTTTTTTTAATCCTGTGCTGAGCATTTGAGGTGATAATGGTGTTTGATGTCTTGATCCGGGTGGGGGTTTCATGGGTAGCCAACTCCTTGCTGCGGGGTGAATTCTGACTCATGGCGACTTTATCTGTGTCAGTGTAGAATTGTGCCCTGCAGGGTTTTCAGTAGCTCATTTTGAAGAAGTAGATTGCCAGACCTTTCTTCTGCGATACATCTGGGTGCACTCAAATGATGGCCACTGATTGCATTCACTGGGTACTTGAGAGGTGTGTCCACCCCTCTTTGGATGTTAGACTTTTGCATAAATGCTTTTCCATGGAAGTTGCTCTCTCGACTCTCATTAAAGTCCCTATGGAGGGATCGGCCCTGGAGTAATTGTATCAGATATTCTGGGACGACCCAATAGGCATCGGTGTCTTTTCAAAGCCCTTGAGTGGTTGTAACACACAACCAGCTTTCCAGCTTAGAGAGTCTTCTGCTCCCTGGTGATTCCCCAGTGCAGTTCTCTGTGGGGCTCCTGGAATGGATGGTATGCAGGGAGGGTTGGGAGTGGAAGTAAAGAGAGGAGACAAGGGAGGGTTTTTGCAGATTGGACATGGGTTTGGGTCTCAGCCCTGAAGGAGAAAGCACACCCCGGCTTGTGTAACTTAAAGTCACACTGAAAAAGCAATACTGACATCTAGAGCTCTCTTATTTTCCATGACACATCGTTGAAGTGACCTTAAAATAGAGAAGGGGTTAAACATCCCTGCATTTCCCCTGCAGCCTCTGCAAAGCTTTCCATTTTCCCTGGGAAATTCTGTGCTGTGTGAATGACGCTGCGGCCCCTGGAAGCGAGAGCATCCGTGGTCCCTGGGCCTCCACATGCTTTCATTCAGGAGACCTTTGGTCACCACCTGTGTGGGTGTGTTGGGTGTCCCAACCTGGCAGGGGAGGAATCCAAGAGCATCATGAAGAGACTCAGAGCCAAGTGCTGGCCCTTCTCACCAGGGTACCTAGGTTTGCTACCACCGGCATCCACGTGGCGAGTGCACTGCAAATAATACGCAGCGAATACCCCTGAGGCAGTGAATCTCCTCCATGTCTGTTTCCCGTGTCTTCCCGCATTTCTTCAGAGCAGTCTGTGCAGAAGGCCCTGGCCCTGATGCCCTCAGCCTTCCGCTTTGGTTCCAGACAAGCCTCTGACGCACCTTCCACCTTGAGCTGGTACCCCCGGTCCTGGAAGAGAATCTGGACTGATGCTTCCCAGAAAGGGCATGTGGACGGCGGCCCAGTGCTGGTGAGATGGAATGTGGGTGTGGCAGCACATGGGGACCCGTCTGGCCGGCTGAGCAGAGGAACTTTATGGTTATCTGACAATGACAGTGCTGTCCCTCCACACTCTTGGGGTTGAAAATTTCCCTGAAGACATATGCTGCCACTCTCTGAAGGTTTCAACATCAAGTGACCTCATCGTGGGCTGACAAGGCCCTGGGAGAGAGAGCGCTTGGATTTCATCACTGCAGAACACGCTTCTCCCGGTAGGCGCCCTGACACCCACCACTCATGTGTCAGCTTACCGTCCTCTGGTGGCATGTATGACGTGAGAACATAGGCCACTCGCATTTCAGATACAGCCACCCATGGGCCACCCAAGGTGGCCAGGTTTCAGAGGAGCTTCCAGACTAAGATAAGGGAGAGATGCTTAACATGATACTTCGACTCTGACTCATGGGACTCTATAGGGCAGAGTAGGACTGCCCCACAGGTTCTCCAAGGTTGTGATCTTTATGGACGCAGACTTCCACCTCTTTCTCCCCCGTAGTCCTTGGTTCAAAGGCCACCGATCCTTTCAGTTAGTGACGAGCACTAAAACTACTGCACCACTATAGATCGCAGACTTACCATAGCCAAACCACCACAGCAGTAAAACCAATCCACTACCAGTGAGTTGGTCCCAACTCATGGCAACCCCTACAGGGTTCCAGAGACTGTCAATCGTTACAGGACCAATAGCCTCATCTTTCTCCAGTTGAGGGACTGTGGGATTGAACTGCTGACTCTTCAGTTCGCAGTGCAGCACTTACGTATCTAGGAGGGGTTGATTGCTGGAAGGGGACATCATGTGTATAGTGAAGTAGAGGGGCGAAGGGGACGTTCGGTGACATGGACTGGCCCCGCAGCAGCAGCGATGGGCTCAAACATGCCAGCGATGGAAAGTAAGACACGGGGCCAGGCAGCACCTTGTTCTCTCTTACATAAGGTCGCCAGGAAGGTCACCGCATGTTTGAGTCACCCAAACAGGAGCTAACAACCACCACCAAACCAAGCCAAACCCGATGCCGTCTGGTGGATGCCACTCATAGTGGTCAGATACAGGGTTTCCGAGACTGTAAGTCTGTACAGGAGCAGACAGCCTTGTCTTTCTCTGGAGAAGCATTTGATGGAGTGGAACCCATCATGGTTAGTAGCTCACCACCTAGCCCCCAGCACCGCGAGGGCTCCGTACCTACTACAGCAAACAGCATTCCCACTGATGCAGGGAGGGAGGTGGGGAGGGAAGAGCACAAACTCAGCAGGAAAGACCCTGCCTCAAGAATTAGGGCTCCTGGGACAGCTGAGACTGGGCATTCAGAGAGTGAACCCATTCTCAAGCCTACAGACTCCTGGCTACCCATACCAACCCGAACCCGCTGCTGTAGAGCCAGTTCCCACTCAGGACAGAGCAGAACTGCCCCAGGTGGTTTCTAACGTTAAATCTTTACGGGAACAGGTAGTCTGATCTTTCTCCCTCAGAGCTGCTGATGGTGGTTTTGAACTGCTGATGGTGCAGTCCGCAGCCCGATGCCTAACCCCTGTAGCTGGAACTGGTGACTGGAGACAAACCAGGGAATGTGTGTATTTTTAAGCCTGGACATGTCATGATGACTGGCTGGAGGTGGCATCTGCCTTCATGGGGGCCCTCTTCTGTGTCCTCGTGGGACTGGTGGGTAAGCACTGACTGTTAGTGAACAGTTTCAACACGCCAGCCTGGCCGAAGGTGAGAGCGGAGGATGGATAGCCCGGGAAGCCCCGTGCAGGGTCAGTTTGAATGGCAGGGGGATTCTGCTTGACCCTGATTAGGTCTGTGGAGAAGGATGGGCCAGTCAGACACCTTGGCCTGTTTGAGACCCCGAGTCCGGA